AAAGAAGCCACACTCGAGGACACGAGAAGATTTTTAATAGGTTTTACTCGCAAGGGCAGACTTTCACAACAGGTTACACAGATGTGCAGAAGTTTTACATGCATGGCGCCCAGTCAGGAGAATCTGCACCGAGCAGCGTGTGAGGATTATTTTTATACTCTTATCAGCTCCCACAGCTCACAGGCAGACACTGGTGACCTCGACCATACAGCTGCACATGCAGGATCAAATCAGCTCCTCATTCAGCTCTCTGAGAGAGAAAAGAACCGTCTGCTAACTCCACCTCGGTGGTATTTTACCAACATGAACCAGTTCAACACACAGTTCATAACCAGATTGTTTGTAAATGGATCAGAAACAACTGTTTGAACTATGAGTGAAATGTATCTTCAGATCAAACTACCAGTTTGTGGAGTATAAGTCTGAGCTCAGTTTGATCAACCTGGCAATAAACAGAGCTACTTATATTATTTTTAGTTAAATCATCAATCAGTCCCAAACGGATGCATTTCTATAAATGTCAAAAAACAACTTAAAAAATGTACAAAGAACAACTGAAGTATAAAATTAACAGAATAAATGATTTAGTTACGAGTTAAAACATGCTTTTAGTTAAAGTTCAAATATTATTCGGATTCATATTTCACTGGACCCTGTGAGCGGTGGATCAGTTAGAGCTGTTGCCTCTTAGTTAAAAGGTCGTCGGATTGAATCCCGGCCGAGGGCCTTTCTTGGTGGAGTTTGCATGTTCTCTCCGTGCATGTGTGTGTTTTCTCCGAGTACTCCAGTTTCCTCCCACAGACCAAAAACATGCATGTTAGGATGATTGGTAACCCTTAATTGTCCCTAGGTGTGAGTGTGAATGGTTGTTTGTCTCTATGTGTCCCTGTGATGGACTGGAGACCTGTCCAGGGTGTCCTATGATGGACTGGAGACCTGTCCAGGGTGTCCCTGTGATGGACTGGAGACCTGTCCAGGGTGTCCCCTGCCTCCCGCATAATGACTGCTGGATATGGACACCAGTGAACTTCACAGTGACCCCTGCGACCCGATAAGGAAGAAGCGGCTAAAGATGAAAAGATGATGGATGGATGCATGGATGGATAGATGGATGGATAGATGGATGGATAGATGGATGGATGGATGGATGGATGCATGGATGGATGGATGGATGCATGGATGGATGGATGGATGGATGGATGCATGGATGGATGGATGGATGGATATTTCACTGAATCTTGTCTCTCTCTCACGACAGCTGGAAATAACTCCCCCACAACGTGGAAAGGAACACGTGGATGAGGAAATCTGCTGAATTACTCACTGGTGGATGAAATGTCAACAAAAATGTAATTCTTTGTATAACTTCTGTTTCCTGAGGAGAGGAACGAGGGACAACACATGAAATATGAGGACTTCACGCTCCTGAGTGTCCCGGCTGAAGAATCACACCTTTTGGATTCCTCAGCTCGACAGCTGCTCTTCACCGAGCCCAGCTGTGCGGCGGAGCAGCCATGTGTTCCTCTCCTCCAGGGAACAGTAGCTGTACCTATAACATGTTCCCTTTCAGCTGATTCACTCCGTACAACGTATGATGTGGTGGGGAGTCGAACCTGCGACTTTCTGGTCCCAGATCGGCTGCCCTACCTCTACACCATCTCGGCCCCCTAGAACTGCTGCTTCTCCACATCGAAAGGAGTTAGTTTAGGATGCCTCCTGGAGGTTGTCCACGCATGTCCCACAGGTTGGAGCGTCCCACAGGTTGGAGTGTCCCACAGGTTGGAGCGTCCCACAGGTTGGAGCGTCCCACAGGTTGGCGCGTCCCACAGGTTGGAGCGTCCCACAGGTTGGAGCGTCCCACAGGTTGGAGCGTCCCACAGGTTG